CGTCAGATGTCTGATGCGACAGAAGTCAGAGATGGCTGACACCAGCTTTCATTTTGTTCAGACGGCATCTACATCCAAGGCTCTTTTTAAGGCTATGGTCACATCTGTGCGGGTGGTGCCGCTGAGGATCCGCACAAAAATCCATGCACCTGCACAGAGAAATGCGGACCCGCGGGCGGGTGCCATTAATTCTAACGCAACCATACTGGGAACCACGGGCTGCGTTTTCCAAAGAAGTGCATTGACTTCTTCCCTGCATGTCCCGGGGCACGGGAGTCCATTCAAACGAATGGGCTCTCGTGCCTGCGCAAAACGCGGACTGCAGGAACACACATATGGGTTGTAAAGCTTTGTTTTAAATAACAAACAAGTCATGCTTACCTGCTCTGTATAATGGTTTTGCACAGGGCAGCCCTGATCTTCCTCTTCTTGGGTCCCACGCCGGCACTCCTGGCCCCTCCCTCCTGCTGAGTGCCCCCACAGCAAGCTGCTTGCTCTGGGGGCACTTGTGCATGCTCACACACAAGCCAGCTCTCTTTGTTCACAAGACATACAGAGCGCAGCTCTGCCCCGCTCCCTCCTCACTGGCTGTAATTAAGCTGGAGCCAATTGCTGTGTCTCAGCCAATGAGGAGAGAGGCTCTTGTGCGCAGCGCTGGATCGCAGTCAGGCTTGGGTAAGTATTGAGGGGGGAGCTGCACACTGAAGGTTTTTTTTTACCATGTCCCTGTACAGTATTTATGCCTTTAAAGTGCACTTTATAAAAAGTTTTGAACAGATAAGACTTTTTTTTTTACTTTTTTCTGACTTCCGGAACGGAATAATTGGTTTTCAATGCATTTACAAATTTTTTTTAATCATGTCCCTTTATGCCTTTAAAGTGCACTTTATAAAGAGTTTTTTTTTTTTACTTTATAAAGAGTTTTGAACAGATAAAAGACTTTTTTTTCCTTTTTTCCGACTTCCAGAACAGATTAGGTTAGCATTTCCGCCTGGCAGTACTCGGGTCGTTGGTTCGAATCCCAGCCACGGCACTTCCTGCCTGGAGCTTGCATGTTCTCCCTGTGCCTGTGTGGGTTTCCTCCGGGTACTCCGGTTTCCTCCCACACTCCAAAGACATGCTGGTAGGTGAATTGGCTCCTGTCTAAATTGGGCCTAGTATATGAATGTGAGTTAGGGATCTTAGATTGTACGCCCCTTGAGGGTTAGGGACCTTAGACTGTACACCCCTTAAGGGTTAGGGACCTTAGATTGTACACCCCTTGAGGGTTAGGGACCTTAGACTGTACACCCCTTAAGGGTTAGGGACCTTAGATTGTACGCCCCTTGAGGGTTAGGGACCTTAGATTGTACACCCCTTGAGGGTTAGGGACCTTAGACTGTACACCCCTTGAGGGTTAGGGACCTTAGATTGTAATCCCCTTGAGGGTTAGGGACCTTAGACTGTACACCCCTTGAGGGTTAGGGACCTTAGATTGTACACCCCTTGAGGGTTAGGGACCTTAGATTGTACACCCCTTGAGGGTTAGGGACCTTAGATTGTACACCCCTTGAGGGTTAGGGACCTTAGATTGTACACCCCTTGAGGGTTAGGGACCTTAGATTGTACACCCCTTGAGGGTTAGGGACCTTAGATTGTACACCCCTTGAGGGTTAGGGACTGATGTGAATGTACAATATATATGTAAAGTGCTGCGTAAATTGACGGCGCTATAGAAGTACCTGAAATAAATAAATAAATAATTAATTAGTTTTCAATGGGAAACCGCATTTCAGTTTAGGAATTTGTCGCAAAACAAAAAGTCCCGCGGAACGAATTATATTCATAAACCGAGGTACGCCTGTATTAGCAAATTTTTTTTTTTAGGTGTTCTGGCGTTGACCTGCGTTTTTCAGCTGTGCTAAAACGCAGATCAACACACTAGTGTGAATGAGCCCTAAGTGCCAAAAAATACAGGTTTCCCAGCACAGGCCCCATCAATTAGCAAAGAGGGCCTGTCTAATCTGCCCTGCATCCCACGATGAAATAGGAAGATATCCACAGCGGTAGGTGCAGCTGTAAGTACACTTACATTTTGTAAAAAAAAAAATGAACATGCCAGGAGCTTCCAGCACTGAACTCAGTGTTTGAGTCTTCACAACTGTATTCCCCACAGACTACACTGGTTCTCAAATACTGAGCCATCTGCATCAAAATATCATTTATTAGGGTTCTTTCAGGTAGGTGGCAGTGTCCACTACAGCAGTAGATCACTTTTCAGAGGGCAGTAGAGTAGTGTCTGACAGCTGTGACTGTTTTTTTTTTTTTCTCCAACTGCGACCAAGCGTTTGGCTTTTGGTTGATTCATATCGATGGGCGAGTTTAACAGGCGATGCCGCTTGTAAACTCTGCAACCTTGAAGCAATACATCGCAGCCAGAGCATGTGTACAGCCCTGTCATGCTGTAATGTTAGGATTCAGGTGAGCTCCCGGGGGGGCAGTAAGACTGCCACTTAGCCACCTGTTTTTATTGCCCCCCCACCCCCACCCAGCTTCCCGTGTGAAAGTCCTCATTTCTTCACCTGTCAGTTTCTGAATTTCAGACCCCAGCCAAGTGGGATCTAAGTGTTCTGTAGTCCTAACAGACTTTCTGTCCTACGGTGATATCTCTGCTTCTCCATAGATACGGAGCGTTGTCACCAGGACAGGAAGTGTGTTACTGGCAGGATCACCAGATTAAAAAAGGGAAAAAGTCTAAAAAAAAAAAAAAAACAATGCCACCACTACATCCAAAGATACTGGTAAGCTGCAATATATTAGATTGTTATTGTGTTTATGTACACTTTAAATATCTTGTGCTCTTATGAATTTCCTATACTGTGGTAAAAACAGTCCTCTTGGTTAGTTCTACATCGTCCACAGCAGGCGGATTCCAGAGAGCGTCTTCTACATGTGAGGTTACACACCCCTCAGGGATCTCTTCCGCCTGTGCTGACCCATGTACCTCCTGTCCTGCTCACCAGCTTACAAAGAAGCCCCCCCATCCACACAAAGGTACACCTGCTGCAAGCCTGATTTCAGCCTTCATCTGCCTCATGTGCCAACAAAGTACAACGATAGAATCTGGATATTTGAAATAAAATTGTGCTCAAAAGTTTGCATACCCTCGGAGAATTGGTAATAATATGTACCATTTTTAACCGCTTAAGGACCGCCCTATAGCAGATATACTACTACAGGGCGGCACCTGTAGGCAGAATCATGTATATATATGTCATTCTGTATTTCCTGGTAGGGGGCGCGTGCCCTACCTGCACCGCCATTCACAGCTGCGGATGTCAATCACTGGGTCCGGGATGGTAATTACCTGCCGGCGCCCGGTGACCACCAAGCATTTCCGACAGGGAGGAACATTGATTTACAAACAATCTTCCTCCTGTCAGCTCGGGCACACTTCTCGGGACGACTGTGCACAGTACACCCATCCTGATCAGTGTGCTTACAGTGTGGTGAGGAGGATACAGCACACACACACACACCCCTTCCCTAGTAAAACCCTCCGATCACAGTTAACCTTTTGATCGCCCCTCACATTAACCCCTTCCTGCCCAGTGCCATTAGTACAGTGTCAGTGCTTTTTTTTTTAGCACTGATCACTGTATTGGTGTCACTGGGGTGTCAGTGACCCCAAGTTAGTTCCCCCCCAGTGTCAGAATGTCCACGGAAGTCCCGCTAAAAGTCACTGATCGCCGCCTTTACTAGTAGAAAAAAATATCCCATTATCTATACCGCCATTTGTAAATGCTATAACTTTCACATAAACCAATTAATTTACACAAATTGGGATTTTTATTAGCAGAATACATTTTGGCCTAAATTTATGACGAAATTAGATTTTTTTACATTTTTTTTACTGGACATGTTTAATAGCAAATGTGCAAAATATTGGGGGTTTTTTTGCTTTATGGCGTAAAAAAAACACACAGGTGATCAAATACCACCGAAAGAAAGCTCAATTCGTGGGAAAAAAGTACGTAAATTTAATTTGGGTGCAGCATTGCATGACCGCGCAATTGTCAGTTAAAGTAACGCAGCGCCGTAATGCAAAAAATGGCCTGGCCAGGAAAGGGGGGGAAATCCTCTGGAGGGTAAGGGGTTGCAGAAAACATGAGTGGGTAATGCAGGCCATACATGGTTTGAATTCCGAATGATTTTTCATCCGAAAATCGAAACGTTGTTCGTTCTGTAATCCGATGGTTCCACCAATGATTTCAAAAATCATTTTTCATGAATTTTCCAGAATGCCGATAAACGAAATGGGGAGGAACCACAAAAATCGGCCGATGGTATTGCCCCACTAACAGAGCGAAAATCGGCCGATTATTCTTAGGTATGATTTTCGTACGAAAATCGTTCAGAATTCGAACCATGTATGGCTTGCATAAGCGAAACACATTTGTTTTTATCCCTTATGGGATTCATATTCTGTAACTGGAGGTGATAACAGAATGGCACAATCATGAAACAAAACATGGCAACAAGTAAACACATTAACCTCCCTAGCGGTCTGATTATGTCCATATTTCTGTGCCCAAAGCGGTACATTGTTTTCAATGGAAATATGTAGTTTTTTTATTGTAGGCCTGTAATTTTTAGGAATAACTCACTGAAATCTGTCTGAACAAGAGTCTAGTAAACATCCCGGGTACGATAAAACTTGAAACACGAAATCATAAATTATAATATAATAAATAATCATAAAAAATAATAATATAATAATAAATTTAATTCAATAATATAATCAAACCAAAAACACTGAAATTTGAAATATAGCTCCAAGTTCGCACATCACTGAGCAAAGTCGCAGAATCGTTTTCAGTGTCTGATGAGGAATTTCCCCCACGAATCATTATCACTCAATTCTGCAAGTGGTTCTGATTTACTATCGCTGATCTCTAGCCGGTCTAAAACCGCTTTTGACCTAAAGCGACGCTTTTTGGACGCCATGGACAGTTTCCAGGCAGAAAGAACAGGAAAAATGCAGGCAGGGCGCCGGACAAAGCACTCGGGACAAAATGTATGTGAAATGGTTTGATACAGGAATGTTATACTATGTGATTTTAGTGTATTGAGTGAATGTCAAATTTTAAAATTTTTGAATTTCCTGCCGTTCTGTCCCCCGTATGTCCCGACGTCGCAGGGAACGGAACCCGGAAGACAGATGCCGGCATCGGCCGGAGGAGATGGCCGGGGACGCTGCAGGGGGGACATCGCGGGAGCGCAGGACAAGGTATTTATTTTTGTTATTATACAGTATTTATATAGCGCCAACAGTTCGCTCAGCGCTGTACATTACAATGGGGGACAATACATGAGACAGTACAATGACAATACAGTGCGATACACGAGGGGTTCGAGGGTCAAGGTAAGTGCTGGAGGGAATCCCTGAGCAATGCTGCAGTGTATTCCCGAGTGTAGCTCGGGGTTACCGCTTCTGGTACTGAAAGTTAACCCCGAGCTACACTCGGGAATACCACCAGGGAGGTTAAATGCCCCCTGTTCAAAAGTCTGCATCCCCTTAGTTCTTAATACTGTGTATTGCCCCCTTTAGCATCAATGACAGCATGCAGTCTTCTGTAATACTTGTCTATGAGGCCTCGAATTCTTGCAGGTGGTAGAGCCAACCATTTGTCTTGGCAATATGTCTCCAGGTCATGCAAAGTCTTTGGTGGTCTTGCATGAACCACACATTTGAGATCTCCCCAGAGTGGCTCAATGACTCCAGAACCTTCACCTTTTTCTGCCGACACAAAAGTCTGTTTACACCCACCGGTCCATCGGGGTGAATGGACCATCCAATCAGGCCTGCCTGAAAAACTGACAGGCGGATCTGATGGGACCTTTCATGTGAAAGTGGCCTTAATGTAAACTGAAAAATAATTTCATGACTTTTAAAGAACCTTATAAGTGAAGTAAATGCAGTTTATTTTGTCTATTTGCCTTCAATTCTACAAGTATTGAGTTGTAGGACCTTTTCATACAGGACCCCAGGAGACGCATCTTATTACTCTTTCCTTGTTCAATGTATCTGGGTGTGTATGTATATTCAGCAATCGTGTGATACTCTGCGTCCAAGAGATGCCAGTCCAGCTGCTTGGATGTCGGAGTGTATTATTGTCTCGGCCCCGTCCGTGTGAAATGTTGCCAGTCATTTTCTGCTAATATTAAATAAACAACAGCTTGCAAAGTTCCAGCAGCAATAGTCTTTTTTTAACATATAAGGGTGAGGGGGAGTTGGTGCGGAGGTCCCCAGGGTACGGTAAAGAACAAATGAGCATTTGGGGCTGTTTAAAGCAAAGGGGGGCCGTGGTGCCAGAGCGTGCTGGATCCAGTCCAGGAATCCTTCAGACTTCTGTCACCTCATTAACTCCGAGGTTGCAAATCAATTCTTAATTATAAAAGTAAAAATGAGAGGCAAGCGGGAGAGGTTTGCTAAGTGTGGTGAGGGGGACAAGTGTGCCCTTCTGAACAGGCGACTCCCCAAAGGCTCCATACGGAGGCAGTTTTATTTTTACAGCTTCTCTGCATGGATGGCACCATCACACTGAGTTATGTTACTGTATAAATCTGGAGAAACATTAGTGCGCCCTTAAAGCAAACCGGCAGTATCCTCAAATTGATCATGCTAGCAGCAAGGTGCCTGATAAGCTCCATTCGAGAGCCTTGGAGAGCACCAAACTTGAGTGCAAATGGCCTACGATTCCTAACACTGACATGACTTGGAGCTGTGCTCTGCCCCCCCCCCATCCCATACTGAAATGTGGGTGCCTTGGCAGCCATTAGAGAGGCTCTAACTTTGCAACGTAGGATGTCATAGGTGCTGGTCCCAAATCAAAGTCAAGAATTCCATATGTGTCTGGCCAGTCCTGTTATTCACATATAAATAAAAAAAACCTGCGCCAAAAAAGAATTAAATAATTAAGCCCTTATCCAATGCTGCTGCTCTTTGTTGACAAGACATCAAACAATAATTGTGAAGTGTGAAAACACAGAAAGTGAAAACAATATAAACAAATAATAAAATATTAATAATAAAAATTATAAAAAATGTCCAAATAAATATATGTGCCAAAATGAAAGTCCCAATCCAAAAATAAAAAATGTTCAAATCCAACTTGCTCCAACCTTGCACATTGGATTTAAACATTTTTTATTTTTTGGATTGGGACTTTCATTTTGGCACATATATTTATTTTGACATTTTTTTTATAACATTTATTATTAATATTTTATAATTTGTTGATATTGTTTTTATTTTCATGCTACTTCACAGTCCTGTTATTCAACTCCGCTATTAAAGAGGACCTGAACGCTTCTTTAACCCCCGGTTCACATCTATGCGAGTGGTGCGGTGCAGATCCGCACGAACATTCGTGCAACCGCACCACCCGCACAGAGGAATGCGGACCCGTTCTATTGGCACGCTGCCCGCACTGGGAAACGCAACCGTACTGAGAACCGAGGTTCCCATGTGGGCTGCATTTTCCAAAGTAGTGCAGGGACTTATTTTCCCTGCGTCTCACGGGCATGGGATTCCATTCAAATGAATGGGCTCTTATGCCCGTGGAAATCGCGGCCCGCACGGCCACATAGATGTGAACCTACTGTAAGGCAGTCCAGCAGTTCCAGGAACTCTTAACACCATGAACTACAATGCAGGACCAATAGCCCTGCATTGTAAGTGAGGATGCCAAGAACTTGTCCACAATCCAGAGAGTCATAGGGCTGAATGCCGGCTGGCAGGACAGCAAGAGATTGGGTAAACCGAATATATTTTTCTGGTACCCTAGGCAGAAACAAGCATTTAACCCTGGCAGTGTGGGGGAAACCCCTACTGAAAAAGGTATTTTTTGTTTTCCTAGGAACTCAGCTTCAAGAACGGAGATCGAATGAGTCAAATATGGAGCTCCCTTTAGCGGTTAATCTACAAATCTTCATATGTAATAAAACAGAAATGTAAGCATTTAATGTGAAATGTGAAAGTCCTATCAACAATGACTTAAGGGAGGCACTGCGGTAATAACTTAAATATGTTTTCACAAGAAACACATTATACCTTCCCTTGAAAGGTCTTGTATGGTGTGGAATAGCAGGAACGGAAGTGATCCATAAGCAGCGTTTAATGTTAATGAGATTCCAGCGTGGCAGTGAAAGGGTGAGGTATCCCTGGGCCACATGAGGAGATGTTCCCACACACCCATGACCTCTCTGTAATCTTTCACTTTCCTGGGTCTGGCCGCTGCCTACACCTCCCCATCTGCTTGGATAATGCGCTTTAACCCCTCTCCCACCTGTGCTGCAGCATCTGGAGCAGAAGTCCCCAGTGGGTGAGAAGGAAGACCCAGTGACCCGCTCTACTGCCTTGCGTGTCCCCTCAGCCCACTACCTCTCCCCACGAGTGCACTTTGTGAGCTACTTCCAGCTTGAACTCATCTCTCGCTCTTCCAGTACCCGAAGCATATGAGTCACATGGAAAGAGTTAACGTTCAGACAAATTAGTCATAACAATTTTTGTAACTTATAAATAGACGAAATGTGTACTTGACACCTGCGAACAGTAAGTCGGCCATTTTGTCGGGATGCAGTTTCTCTACTAACTGAGAAGTGGACTCATCCATTCACTATGGACCAGTGACAGTATGGAAAAGCTTCATACTCAATAAAATGCAGGATATGCAGTCTTTACTCTAACATCATGCGTGGCCTGTCCATTCCAGAGATGCCAGTCACATCACTGACACACCTTGTGTTTATATTACCACCTTTGTTGGAGAGTGGTGACTATGATACTGGAGAAAAGAACCTATCATAAGACAAGGACATCACTTTCCCACTTTATAGCCAAAATGTTGTGGACCCCAAACATCACACCAATTTATATGGCCAAAACTGTGTGTTCACCCCTCGAGATTACTGAGATCAGGTGTTTACATTGAAGGTACTGTTAATAATACAGCAAAGACGTTTTAGACCAGCCTTTCTCGATCTTTCCAACACAGAGGAACCCTTGAAATTACTTTTTGGTCTGAGGGAACCCCTGATAAAAATGACTATATCTGCAACTCATGATCCATTAGTGTGATGGCAGTAGGAAGAATTCCCCCCTTTCAAATAGCTAAAAAGGATCAATGATGTTAGTGGGAACTTATCTGAGAGGCAGAAATTGCTCATTGCTCAATGAATCTCTAGCAATCTCTGGAGGAACCTTGGTTGAGAAAGCCTGGTTTAGGGGTCCTTTTATGAAACAGAGATCAGCGGTGATCCTGAGGATCGTTTCTGATCTCCGATCATTAGTGGTTTAGGAAAGAGATGATCAGTGGAGAACATGTTCTCGGCTGATCATCTCAGCACACAGATGGCCAGTATATGAAGGAGCGATGTCAGCCCTTCACTGGTGATCTGTGTTCTCTCTCCAGATTCTCCAGCCCAGAGCTGGAGAATGGGAGGAACCGCAAACGAAGCAGCGATAATTTACCGCTTCTTAGTAAACTGTGTTTGACTGATCTCTAACTGTAATCTCGTGAGATTATAGTAAAAGCAGCCGTTTTCCAGCGTTCAAAGCATTTGTAGATCGCTTCTCCCTTCATTCGGAGAATCGATCTACACCGCTTCATAAAAAGGCATTCAGAGAACTCTCTCCTCTGAGAATGCCGAAGAACTGAGCAGCGGTCATTTACCACTGCATGATAAAAGGACACCTTAGACAATTGTGTGCTTCCAATGTTGTGACATTTGGAGGAAGAACCTTTTCTGTTCCAGCATTAATTGTGCCATTTGAGAGCCAGGTCTTGTGCAAACTGACTTCACAAATACTCCAAGAAGAGTGCAGGCTGTTCTGGCCACAAGAGGTGGGGGAACTCCATAGTAATGCTCATGGTTTTGGAATGGGTTGTCCAACAAAATCATATAGGTGTGATGGTTATGTGTCAAATACTTTTGACTTGTATCAGGTTCTCTTCCATATTACTGCCTTAAGCAACTACTGTTCAGATTTTCAGAGGCCCGGGCTTGAGAACAGGAGGGACTTTTTCCCGTGGGTCAGTATTAAGATACAAAATGTTGGGTCGGTGGCCCTGCGTGAAGGCTGGCCCAAAATTCAGACATCGATCAGAGCATGAATCGCAGTTAGTGGCACATGGTGGGCATTATTTCGCTACCTGATCACTCTGCCAGATGCTGTAATTCCACTTCTGAAAAAGGAAGTCCTCTACCATTTAAAGGCCATTTGGTTGTAGTTGCTCCCCAGGCCAAAGGTGCCTCCTCTGTGGGAGACAATCTCTACTCTAAAGTGGTAATAAAACAAACCTCTCAAGAGAAAAATATACTGGCTCTCATTGCTGACCTTCAACTGGAAATGCTGGTTACCTGGCTGTTATACTGACCCTGTGTCTTTAATACATTCTCAATTACTAAGAACAGATATACAGATCAGTAAAGTCAGAAGTCATTACTGTATCTGCATACGTGTTCCAAATCCCTGCAACTGGTA